CATTTAACTCCATTCTTGGTATATGTAGACTCTTTAACGTTCCATCACTGTTTGTATTCCATTATATTTAATAATTTCAAAAGAATTCAATTCATCAGTTCATACATCAATATTTTTTTCAAAATCTTCACTGTATATTCTGAAATAAATTCTTTTACTACAAAAGTTTCGAGATTTTATATTATTAGAATAATTAATGTTTCCGCAGCTGTCTTTTTTGAAATAATACTGGAAATCATAGTTTTCAAATACATTACTCTGAAACTAATATAGGAATTTGAAAATTAAGTTTCTAACGATCCAAAGTATATAAAAAGCACATTGACGGCAAATTTCTAAGATAGATTTGACCTCTAACTATTTGTAATGCAAAAGGTATACGACCCCTCACGACAACATTCGGTTAGTAAGTGGCCGAACTTATGAACAGGTGCGTAAGGTTTGTTGAAGTGTCACGTCTGGTGTTGACAGCGATGAAGAGCTTACGGTGAAAATTTACTCCACCTTCTCATCACCAACTACGGGTGTTATTCTTTTCTTGATCCCTGCCATCAAAGGTTCAACCCACGGGTCTATGCTATTTCATCGAGCGATGGGTGGATGAAATAGAATTAACGGTAACAGTAACACTGCGGTAGGAAAGAAGAGATGAAAAATAATATTTCTTCGCGCCATTTATTGCCAAAGCTTTTAAGAGTAAGTCCAACAAGAGCTTTATGGTTCCAAATTATGATGCAGTTTCAAGAATTTAGGCCAGCTACAATTTTATAATTTCTAAGTAATGGATGTTCTAATATTTTCAGCAGTACGTTTGTTTGAATAATTCTTCTGAATTGTTAAAAGACAAAAAATTTAGAGAAATGTAACAGTTATTAGGTGTATGGATATTAATAATTTTTCTAAATTAAATTTTTTTTTTTTTTGTTTATTTAGTATGTTGACAAGAGTTGTAAATTTTCTTTCTGTCAGTACTGAAATTATGTTTAATTGCTTAAATTGATTTCAGACGCGTAATAAATGATACAGGAAAATGTATAAAACAAGCTTGACCCAGCTTACCCTTGATTTACAACATGAGTATAAATCAGATAATATTATTATAATATTTCGTACAAAGGCGTAGAATGTAATATATTAATGCTACTAAAATGCATTACTTTAGCACTAATAAAAAAGTTGTAAGTTATGTCATCAGAAAAATTACGAAAATGATATCTGCAGGAATTAGAGTTTGCGTATGTACAATAAATATATTTAAGATATTTGTTTCTCAATTTATTAGCCCAAAAGGCGTTAGCCCAGAAGGGCTATTAATTTTGCTTTGACATTTTGCGTTGATTCACTTTTCAAACTGTTGCCACCAAATATTACAGTCCTGTATTATATTTAAAGAAATTAAATTAAATAATGAAGAATCTGCATAAATGTATATATGTTTCTCGCATTCTAATAAAACCAAGGTACCTAGAGCCATCAAATTTTCAATAACGTAATCCTCCATCGAATATGAGCATCTGGAAGCCCTAATTAGGAATTTGTTTTATTATCTATATCATATTTTGTCAGATATTAAAGAGTTTTTGATTAACAAAACGATTTCAAAACGAGGACTGGCAACACCGTACGAAAGAAAAAAAAAAACATTTTTATCTCCAGCGAGCGAGACTGTGTATAGGAAATTCTAAAGATTTTCAAAATTATTTTACGATATTGCTGAATTGAATTTAATTTCATGGTTTAAGTGCGAAGAACATATTTAATAAATAGAGGTAAAAAACGTTAAAAAATGCCCCTTTCGGTGTAATGTAAAATCTGAAAGCATGTTTTTTTTTTTTTTCTTTTTTTTTTTAAATTTGTTCAACAATCACTTTTTGTTGTCTACCTCTTTAATTGTAAGGTATAATAAATGGAAGATGAATAGTATTTTTTAGCATTAAATTACTTTTGTATTTAGAAAGCAGTTCCTTAACTATGTAAAATATCAAATATTTTGCAAATAGAATCAAAATTAATTTTCTGGATAAAACAAATTATTAGTAAATTTATTTTGTATTAAGAAAATAAGTTTCTGCTTTAATTAAACGGCTGTACACGTGCTAATTTATTCATCATTATGGCCAAACTTACCAGTCATCAAGCCTCTTATTACCGAGAGCATAACTTAAAGAAGACTGGCACTAGCAGAGATAATACACAAACAACGAAGCTTTACAAGGGGAGCCGAACACAATACCCTCGGTTTCGAACTGACAGTCAACATTCTCTAACAAACATATCATCTAAACCGCAGACACACACACGCACAAAAAGCGTTTATTATTTCTGCTGCCTGCTTTATATTATATGCTAAAGGAAATTAAAGTACGTTGTTTACCATTTAACTCGATTTCAAAAAGCATCTGAGACAGTCTGCCTTAATATAGGAGTGTAACCGTAACGGATTTTCTAAGGGAAATTTCTCCGTATTCACATCATGAATAAAAACTTGCAAACGGCTGTCATACCCACTCAGTCAGTCATCGGTTAATTAACATATGTAATGAGCACACCTTGGAAGAAGTTTAGAACGAGGCTCTCGAAACAACGCGTTTGACGCAAAGATCATTCTCGTGGAAAACAGAGTTTTCCAGTGTTTGAACAGATGTGACAAACAGGAAAAGTAATGCCCAGTTTTCATACTGAACATCAGGATTGGCCTAACAGTATAAATTATTATTTCATGATTCAACGCTTAATATCATTAAACTATTTTCTAGTAATTTTGTTCATCTTCTCCCATTCTTTTTTAAACGAAATTAGACTTAAAGATCTTAAGTGTTTTTTCTCAGAATTTTATTTTTCACATTATTCTATATTCTTCAAAGGGTCATATTCGTTTATAATGGATAAAAGGATGACAGGAATTTCTGTCCAAAGAAATCCAAACTTCTGTAAAAATTTTAATTTAGTTTTACACATTTAACTTGATAATTATAAAAGTTGGCTTGCTTATGTTGCTTTTTTAAAATTTAAAATCTTATCAGGGTCATTAAAGATCTCAATTGCGATTACTTAAATTCTGGTGGGGAAAATATAGGAATCTTATGATAATTAACAAGTTTTTATAATTTCAGTCTTTACTTATAGCTCTATTTATTTGTATCAACACGAGTTGTGGTTATTGTAGCATAAGAGCGTGCTTTTATGCTCCAAATTCACTTCAGATAAAAAGTTATAACCTTTTTAAAACTTGTCGTTTATCTCAGACATAGCACTAACTCGCTTGAGGCTAATTAGGATTATAGAACTAAACTAGCACTACCAGAGTAAGCGTCGGACTTCAAACGATGTCAAACTACCAGTATTTAGCCGGCTTAGCCACTCGAGCGGGAAGTCACTGAATACTAGTAGTTCAATCTAGATTTGAATCGCGGGGATTTTCCCCACGTGAAACTGGAATATCAGCTATTTACTCTTAAAAAGTCCTCGACGAAGGCATCGCTTGCCTTCGAAAAATAAAATTATAGCATGCGCTATCAAGCGCAACAATCTCAGAAAAGAAATCACAAATATAATGAACATCCTATCAAAACGATGTCCTGAGTTATGCAACATGGCCTAAAATAGCATGACAAAGATGCTCCGTGAGCAAAGAGAAAACCGAAACAATGTCGTATTTTGAAAAATGCCAGAGTGTACTGTGAGAGCAAAGCAATGAGACTCTTAATGATGGCAGATCAAGAATGGAAGCAGATCTGGAGCTTTGCTACATATCATGCAAGTGGTAGAGGCGCCAAGTATAAGAAGATCAACAAAAAATATAGTAACTCGTTCTTTTCACACCTGACCAAACAGTAGAGAGATCTAGTATCCACCAGGGCGGACAGAGCCCACAGTATGGAGCGCACCAGATGCAACGCATTGCAAGCAATCACAAGAAGCCTACAAGGCGGGGTCTGTTGTGTGTCCTGCGCTATGTTGCTAGCGCAGCTGGTGAATACCAACACAACAATAGCTGTCCACCACACTTCATCATATCCATAACCCTTGCCTTAGGCTGATAACACATGCTTTGCTGTAATCAACTAAGTTAAAACATGTTAACTATTCGAGCACTAGGTAGGCACTTATTACTTCTTTTAATCAAGTTAAAACTGACTGTGTTAATTAATTTTGCTATACTGCATTCCCATTAACAGAAAAACATTCCTGCGTTATTTTAACTATTATCATTATTGCGTTTCGTTTATGTTTTCGAAATATTGTCTCATAGTAATAAATATTTCTTGAATGCTTGTCGTAATCATTTTCAATGTCATCATTAAAATAAAGAAGAAATATCAGCTTTGGTTAATAAACTGATTAAAATAACGCAACACTTATTTGTAAAAAGAACTCATGACTGCAGTAATAGCATTGCATTATGTTATAATCAAGTAATACAATAACTAAATTTCCTACATATTGGGTATAGCTAGAGGTTTGATACGATTAAAGAAAATTAAGTAAACGAAGGTCAATGACTTCAGCAATTTAGTAATCATAATATGCATTTACCCCCAGACTCAAGAATTTCAGACTTATTCTCCAGTGAATTGCGTAACGAACACAAAAGTCTTTACTCGATAGCGAGCAGGGGAAAAAATGTAATTTTTACAATCCTCCTTTTTTATTAGAACTTAGTTTATGAAAATATGTTATTTATACTTAATTTATTTCAATGGATTTCCTAAACAACAGTGTAAATAAAATTGTGGAGAAATTTAGAAATAGTTTAAATATTAGAATTAGTTTAAATAAATTTAGAATTAGTTTCTTCGAAAACAGATTGAAAAATGTTAAAATTAAATTCGTATTGTTGCATTTTTTCCAAAGAAAAATTAATTTATTAAGATTTGATTTCGAGGTTATTTTCTGTTAATAAGTAAGAAATACTCCAGTCATTTATATATAAAATGTTGCGAATTTAGAATACGAGAGACACAGTGGCAGCTAAATTAATCACTATTATTTGTTTACAGGAAACACAGCGAGAAAATAATTGAAGAGACTTTACCCTATTATTCAAAAACAGCACATTTCCATACTTAGGTTTCCGAAAGAAGTGTAAAGATTAGTATCTGAGTAAGTAGATTATATTAAGAGATTAATTTCTAATTATATAATTATTTTACTTGTTTTTGTCAATTATTTGCATATTTTTGAATTATTAAAATGCCTTATAAATGCCTAATATACAGAATTTAAATCTTAAAAAAGTAGAAAATTAGTTAATTAGACTTTCGAAACTTAACGGCACTAAGATTATTGATAAAATAAATAATGTTTCGCTTCACAGACTATATTAGACCAGAGGTTTCTTACTTGCTTAACATCTAAAACTGAAACATTAGAAAAAGATAAGTCAAATTAGTTTTCAAAGTTATCTTGACCAATAAGATGAAAGCCGTAAGTTAGATTCTGAAGGTGTTTACTCTCCCCATTGGAAGAGCTTTGTGCTTTTAAACAATTCATATATTGTGTTAGAAACAGCCTACAGTTAATTTGCAATCCTTAGTTGTTTTATATCTAATATAGGACAAAATAAACTTTTAATAATATTTTATATGCGCGTGCACTTAAAAGTTAATTTAAGAACTGATTTGGGAACGGAGTTATAAATTTCGAGAGATTATTTACAGTTATTTAACTCTTAAAAGGATATATGGAAGAGGTTACTTACACATTTATAAGTAGGAGCAAAGCATTCTCTTCAGTTTTTCTGGCGTGCTTTTGTCAAAATAGTGAGTAATTAGAAAGTGATGCAGTTAGAACTGTATCAGTCATCTAATAAGGAATAAGTAAACACAATTCAGTTTTTTTATCTTATGATTACACTTGCTAGTTAATAGAAGCCCGCCTACGGCTGAGCTAAGTCGCTGAACCGAAGCGCCTGGATTCGAATCCCGGAGAATGCACTGATGTTTGTAAATGTATAGTGCCTGTGAGACTTAGGAGCTCTCTAAATATGCGGCGAGTCGAATGTTCTTTCTGTGGTAGGGGAAGAGGGGACCTGTCTCCTCGCTGGTTCTCTCCACCAAAATTGGGGCTGGAACTGAGCAAATCGTACTTCCCTGAAGCTTTCTCAAAAAGTGAGAATTAGAAAGTGATGCATTAGAACTGTATCATCTTCTAATAGAATAAAACACAATTCCATTTTTTATCTTATGATTACACTTGCTAGTTAATAGAAGCCCGCCTACGGCTGAGCTAAGTCGCTGAACCGAAGCGCTCGGATTCGAATAAATTCGGATAAAGGCTCTTGCCAACGAAAAGCGCAATCTTGCACTCGTTGCCACGATAAATTTCGTGAGCTTGTTATGAAGCTACTGTCAGACAAGTGAGACAAACCAGAACACGCACAGTGTGCACCACAGTGCGCAACTAATTTTGTTCTTGAGAATGAACGGTGGACAGTTACCCAGAGACTACATCAATGTCGTCTCTTGGTCCATCGACAGGACAGCTGGTTCACTGGAATTGCTGCACAGGGTAACATATGAACTTTAAGAAGTGATTTGCATTTTGATCATATGTGAGACGGATATAAAAGATAAGAGATATTTACTTAGCTAACTCATAAATCTGTACATCAGAGAGTGACAAGGAATTGACGATCAATTAATAAATACAATAGTATGCACGAGAGAGGCTAATATTTCTGTGGAATTACATAGTTAAACCACTTTAACTTTCTTTACTAATTTCGTTCTTAATTAACCTCTTTAAGAGTTAATTAAATACAAAATGATTAACCAAATGAAAAGAACCGCCTACTTGTTGGAGCAATGTCATTTCTACAATAGATTTGGTTCTTTAACATTTTCCGTAAATACTGCGTTAGATGGCAATTTCCAAGGTACAATACATATCGATTTGATAATCCATAGTTACAAGCAGGATTATTATTATGTGAATTAGAGAGAAACTTCTATTTTATGAGGAATATTGGAACACGTTTTAGAAGATTGTAGGAAGCAAAGAGGTTACTAATAATCAGTCTACTGAGTAGGTGGATGCAGCTAGTGGTATCTGAGTATCAATGGTTTGATTACCGATATTTTTCATACAAATTAATGACTGAAGCAATAAACTAAATTTTAGATTAAATTAATACGTAGAACATCTGTTAAAATACTAATTTTGTTAATAACGAAGGTAAAATGAATGCTTTCAAGATGAATTAAATCATAATATGCGAAATAATATTTTAAAGAATATACATTACCTAGTCGTACTAGAGTAGTTTTCAATTTACCCTTACAGGAACATTTATTTTATTATGTCTGATATACTGTAGAAAATAAATGACTTATGGAATTTAAGTAAATGCAGTTGTTTCAAGACGATATTAAAACACCTAATATCTTGTTAAAACATTTTATTAATTTTGCGACATTTATTCTGTGCCGTTTGATTTAGGAAAATTGCCGCTTAGATTTGGCCTAAATTGAAAATTCAAAGTCAGATCTAGATTGTTGCGTAACGACTCGAATATCAAAGAACTTGACGTATTTATAAACAACATATGCCTTAACCATAGATAACTTGGAATGATTTTTATGGTTCTTGCCAGAAAAAATTTTCTAAAGCTTTTTTTATAGGGTGAAAATAAGTTCAGACGAAAAGACTGAAACACAGAATGAAAAGTACTTACGTATTAACGCAACCACCTTAGTAGAAGTCGCCAAATTTTCAGAATGTGCCAAACTCTGGTAACCACGCGCATAATCATTCTTCCGACCACAACTATCCTTCCAATCAAGCAAATGTCATCATTTTCCTGTCCGTTTTTTTTAGTTGTATTCCAAATTCTAATGGTTTTTATAAACAAATCGTGATACTTTATGCCTTAGTTTTAAATTATGAAATTGTGGAATAAGCCAGCAGTGGAAGGAACTGCAGCTAAATTTCTGGAGGAATACAGAATTTTGCTGAAAATTTTCTAAAGGGTAACCAACGAGGAAATACGTTTCCTCGATAGTCATTGTTACAGAAGGTTGCACGAACCCGAGTTTCCGCAATTCTGAGATTTATTTATTTAATTATTTACTAACTTTTAGTGAAAAAAGATCGCTGTATATTTCGAAAGAACCACGCAAGTGTGTGTGTGTGTGATTATGGCAAAGCCTCGAGGGCTATCTGCCTAAGGGGAGGGATGCCTTCGTGGAGGACTTTCTAAGGGAAACTGGCTCGTATACACGTTACACATGGGGAAAACCACGAAAACGCCCATGCAGCCAGCCCGTTCGCGGGATGCGAACCTCGGACCGACTACCAGTGTTCAGCGACTTTACCGCTCGGCCGCTGGTGGGCCGAACCACGCAAGTGAAATTATAGAAAAACTCGAAGAAAAAATTTCAAGAATTATGTAAGTGTTTTATTTTTTTAATATGTCATGTAATCACTATTTAATAATTCAAATTTGCATTTTAAATTACTAAAATATGTCTCCTTTTCATGTGTTGATAATGTTCACCGACTTGCGATAAATATCAATAGCTGGGAATCTCTATAAAATAAAAAGACGCGAAAACCTACCAGCTTCCAACCCAGATGGAACTACAAGTGTTAAGCTGTCTTAACTCCAATATCAGTGGTGATTGGTTTGTGTTGGTTTATGTGATTACGGCAAAGACTCGAGGGTTATCTGCCTAAGGGGTGCTACAAATTCGTGGAGAACGTTCAAAGGGAAACTGTCTCGTATACGCGTTACACATGGGGGGAAAACTACGTAAACGCCCATGCAGGCGGCTCGTTTATGGGATTAGAATTATCGAACTGAACTACTAATGTTCAGGGACTTTACCGTTCCGCCGCTGGTAGGCTATCAGCGGTCATAAGTTAGCTAGTAGGTTCAAAAATGCTTTTGTTACGAAGACTCATAAAATGTACATAAATTAAGACACTGACGAATGAATGAAACTCCGAAATAAATTTCTATAGTTCTGAGGAAATTAATTATGTGCTTCTAAGATTTTTGAGAACTTTATTAGTGACCGAGTAGTTTCTTTTTTAATCCCTAGGCACATTATTTAATACCCATTGGCCTTGCGCCACTATAAAGGCCGGAATTGGTGGCTATTTCATTATGAAAGCACCTAATAGGTGTCCACTGTTGCCTCTTACGAGGGGACGGATAGTTGCAGCCAAGCCTTCTCTGGGATTCGAACCCAGGCCCATCGCAACGGCACTCAAGATACAGTCTGGGCGTCTTGTAGTTAGGACCCCTAAATGCTGGAACTTTGACCTGGGTTCGATCTCGGGCGAAAGTGTTAGCTCCATGGTTAGTTTCGTTGTTTTTCCCATGTGTAACGTGAAAACAAGCCAGTATTCTTTAGACAGTCCATCTTCCTCTTGATGAGTTGCCGTCTTCGAATAACCTATCCCAGGTATTTTGGTTATGTTTATGTGATTTACATTAAAAGCACCTCAGTATATAACCATCTTTTCTGCAGAAAACGAAACTAATGAAGTTTCGAAATTTTCCTAACTAAAAAAATATAGAATAGCTAAAATATTTCTCCTTTAAATTTATCTAAAAATGTAAAAATAAAAGGAAAATGCAACTGTAGTCATTTAAACTTTATATTACTCATTCGCCTAACAAGCAAAATCTGTCAATGTTCAATATCTCTGAAAACATAAAGGGGATCATAAATAGTATTTCCAAAAATGTTGCATGATCTCTATGTATCCCTTATTTCATATAACTCCAGAATCAAAAATTACAGATTTCAGTTTTGAAAATCTGTGTTACTGTTCATACTGAACGTAAATGACTTATTATACAGTGGATACCTCCGCACACGACTGCTTTGAAATACGCCCAACTTGGTATACGTATTGTTTGGAAGCGAAAATATTCTTTAGTATGCCACACACATATGTTTGGAATACGACTCGACTTTGATGAGTCAGGACTGCGCGCACTGTACCTGTCTCTTGAGAGACATTGCTATGACTGCCATGAAAATCAGTACGCCTGCTGCTATTTAGTAAACAACTCGTGCTATAACTCTGAATTTTCAAGTGATATTGTGTTTTCTCGCGTACGTATTTTGTAAATTAATTAACAATGAATT